TTATGTTGTTCGTACTTCTCATTCGAGTCGAAGCTTGGGTGGCACAGGTTATTTCTCATGGTGCAATCGACGAGGGGAATTCGAACACCAGTTGTAGTGTTTGAATTGTTGCCGGAAGAAATGGTCGCATGGGGATGTAGGAATAGTAAGTTTAAAGAACAATTTCAAATTTTGCCGCTTGAATTGAAAGTAAAGTGCATTTGAATTGCTTTCATATGTATTTCTCACGGTTTTAGATCTACCTGCTCGATTTATATCAAAATCGGCCAGACCGCTCTTATAGAGACACTCTCTTAAGTGCTGCTGAGGATTCAATACTGAGCTGGTCATTGGCAGAGTTTAATGACTGGCCAGTGCCAGGGGTTGACTGAAATGGTTACGACTTGACAAAGGTTGTACTTCAGTGTGGGTTCCAGCTGCTGTTTCATACATATGATGTGAAGATACAATGATTGGAAATACAGCAGATAAATGTACTGGCATGGTCTGAATAGAATTCACGCATGTGTTTAAGGGCTGCTCTGGTAGGGCAGTTGACCACCTATTGTGGTCATTTGAGATACTGAGGCCTGAGGAACAATTGGAGTTGAAGAATATAGAATTCCACTCGATGGAGAAAGTGAAGCTGCCAAGCTGTTAACAGGAGGCATTAACCTGGATAAATCCATGGATAAAGTACAGGGGTCATTTGTGGCTACTTTTACTGTGGTCATCTGAACCCTTGGAATATTTTGATCCGTTAATGGTTGCTTTGGAACTGTCATATCTTCAACTTTCTCTCTTTGTTTCAACAGCTCTATCACTTGCTCATAGGGCCTGTCCACAACAACTTTCTTACCTCCTAGGTATTGTTCCTTGGCTAGTTGACTTTTTGAGTCTCTCCTCCACCTTTTTGTGACACTCTTTGTACATTTTCTCCAGGATATCTACAACTTGCTTCAGTTCCTGTTCTCGCCTACTGATTTTCTCCTTGAGTTGTTCTGACTGATCCTCAATCACAGATTGTCCAGGTGTTGTTCTGGAACCATTTAAGCTACTGTTGTGACTTGGACTGCCATTTAGGTATCCCCTGACCACTCTTCTGATGTCACTGAAGTCCTCTTCCAAACCTTCCAACTCACTCACTGCGGCGCTAAGTTTTGCTGAGTCGCCACCATCCTTGTAATACGCTTCTAAATTTTTGACTGCATGAACTACATCCTCAAAGACAGCAGAGAGAAGATTCAAACTTTCCATCACCTGCATTTTCAAAGCCATTCCTCCCTCCAAGGTCATCAACAATTTCGTGTTTGTTCTTGTATAAGCACATTTGAAGAAGCTAGTCATAAAAGGG